GGGGGTGAAGAAGAGGAAGATGAAGAGGAGGAGGGCAGTGGCGAGCAGGAGGAGGAGGAGGCGGAGGAAGCAAAAGAGGAGGATGAGGAAGATGAGGGCAGTGATGGTGAGTCATGTGGGGACTCGACATCATCACCATCATCATCGCCTGTTGAGATGATCCCTGAAGAAAGTGAATCTGACGGCGACCTGGATGGGGAGTCTATGAGTGAAGAAGATGAAAAGGATCCCAAGGCTGAAGAGAAGGGGGAAGCGATTAGCGCTGCAGCCAAGGAGGCAGCAGACCTTCCTGCCAGGAACAGCCCCCTGGCTTTCTTCAAACTCGTGCAGGTTTTTGTTTGGTTCAAGCGGTGGTTTTCTTTTGAATGTTATTTTGGGGGAAAAGTTTGGGCGTGGTCATCTCAAGTGTCACCATGCCCAAAGAGTGGGCAGTCTTTACGAGGGAGTGTGGCAACAAGAAGAAATTCCCAATCAGCTTATCAGAGCATTTGCAGAGGGACAAGCTGGACTTGTTTCAAGTCTGGTTGGACAACAACCACAACCTCAAAGAGCTTCTTGCCTGAGAATCAGGCTAGTTCACTTTTTTGGTTGCCCCTCAATCTTTCTTGTTGTTGGCCCCAACTTACATGATCCTCCCTTTGATTTGACCTGTCCCAAGGGTAGCGCTGCAAATGGAGCGTCGGGTTGCGCATGTCAACCGGGTTCGCACTGGGCGCACGGGGAAGAAGAAACGCGAGCTGCTAGCACTATACCCTGCGGAGAAGGTGGACAAGTTGTGTGCATTGCTGGCTTCCAAGCAAATGTACATGTGGGACCCTGACTTTCCCAACGATGAGGAGGAGACATCCACATCCACATCATTGGTTTGGGCAGGTCCTATTTTCCCAATCAAACCAATTGATCTCTATTGAAAATCCCTTTGAATTTGTCCCCATCCATGTCCCAGGAGATCTACTACTATGCCGGGGATGGAGCCAGGATCACCCAAGATGATGTGACGTCTACTGCGATGACCTTGCAGGCCCAAACCCAACCTGATGCCAAAACCCTCTCCGACTTGACAGCGGAGGGCGCTCCTCTTGCGGCTGGAGCTTTGCCAGACCTCCAAACGGTCGGTGCGGATGGAAGCAAGGGTGTGTGGACGGCTATGGGCTCTACGGTTTCCAAGGCTAGGATCAAGAAAAGGGAGGACACCGAACAGGTGGTTGAGGTGAAGCCAAAGACTTCCCAAGAGATTCTCAGTTGCCTTTGTATTTTCAATATGGTAGCTTTTAAGGTTTCCTGTTCCCCCCTCTAGATACCATATGGGAAAGTTTTGGGGTGCGCAAAACTCAGGAGAGCAAAAGACACTATGAAGGCACTTCTCGCTGAAGCTGGAGAAGCCAGGAAGCTCAGTATCTCCCTCCAGGCTGTTGAATATGGCGGTGAGTTGACAAAGCAGTTGCTGGATGAGTCCAAGAAAATGGAAAAGCTGTTCACCAACTACACAGACCTTGTGAAGCGCAAAGTCACCGATGACTCCGAGTATGACTCTGCAGCTGATCAGGCCGACCAGAAAATGAAATGGCTTGAGAAGGCTAAGGTTGCTTTGGTACAAATGGGCATCCTTTTGTTTTGCTGACTGACAGGGGCCCCCTTTTCAAAAACATGTTGCCACCAGTTCTGCTCCAGCATCATCCCAGGCTGCGGCAAAATCTTTGCTTGCTGGCCTGAACAAGAAGGCGCCGAAGAAGAAGGCAGCCAAGAAGGAGAAAGTCGCGGCCGCCTCGTGAGCTTCGATGCAGAAGTCTGGTAGCTTTTGGAACCTCTTCCAATGGAAGGGGTTGGCAATGGGGAAATTGCCTTGATCCTTACAGAGTCTCTTTCCACCCTGGTTAGAAACATCAGGCTCTCTGTGAAGCCAGGGTGCCAATCTCGAAAAAGAAATTCCATCAGTCCATAGTCAAATGTTTACAATGTTTGGAGTGGAGTTCAATTGCAAAGCGACCTCCAAGCGACCTCCCATTTGATCATTTGTTGCCCCTCATCTGGCCTGATGCAGGCCACAGCTTTCAAACGAAGACGATCTCGAAGTTCTCGAAGTAGGGGCGCCTGGCAGTTCAATCCCATATCGGTTGAACCCGGCCATGTGTCTTCCAAGGCCCTTCAAAAGGAGGCCTCGTCTTGAGAATTGTGGGCATAACAAAACAGCTGATAGTTTCCTACGATGCATGGCTGCACTCTTTATCAAAAAGAACTTGCAGAAGGCTTCATGTTTCTAGTTTTTCACTCCTTCTCTTGCCCCTGAGGATTGATTGGACATGGCAAAGCCAATATTCACACATGCGTTTCCATTGCTCAGGCACAGGTGCAGGACTCTCTAGATCAAGGTCTCGAGCCTCCTTTGGCCATCGCAGCTTTTGCATCTCTTGGCTCCTGTGGCAAGCACCCGTCGTCTGAAGAAAGGGACTTACATCGCTGGCTTCGGCAATTGTATGGCATCGAGATTGAACATTATTGGGTCAAGCTTCACGTGAGAGTTTGAAGCCCAGTGAATAAACATGTTGATGTTTAGCATCATCTTTATACGGCAGTATCAGGGTCAGCCTCTTTAAGCCAAGGTCACCAACAGCACTGAGTTGGAGGACGTGTGGGTCCCCACAATTCTTCCACATGAATTGTTACACGCGTTGGCGAAATCAGGGCCCGATCAGGCCATGCAAACGCGCTGTGCCTTCTAGACATGTGTTTGGTTCAGCCTTCATAGAAAATAATGTTTTTGATTTGCCCCAGTTTGGAAAGTCAATGCTTGGCGGGCGAAGCCGTGGTGCAGCGAAAGATCTGTGGGATCACTGTCTCCAGCTTCCCGAATGGGAAGACCATCCAGCTTTCTGTGGTGACTTCTCGGGGAACGACACGGAAAGAGACAGTGGCTAGCCTAAAAGCGTTGTGTCTTGTGTTTGTTTTGGTAAGCTCTGGGTGTCTTGGTCTTTCGAGGAGTCGTCCCAATAACCTTTCACGTCGACGGTGCAGAGTTCTATAGAGATAGCGAGTACATCGTGTGGAGCTGGTCAAGCATACTATCAAACGGTGATGTTTCCTGGCATTGTGTTTTTTGGGTGAAGGCCTTGTCCAAACAAAACTGGGTCTCAGGTTTTCGACATCAAGTTTCCTTCTGTGGTGTTGCCTTACCATTGTATGCACGAAGATATCCAGGCCCGTCTATTTTGTGTGGGGTGAATGCAGTCACAGGTTGAAAGACCTAGAGATGCGCGTGTGTGTGCACATGTGTGTGTGTGTTTTGGGGGTTGAGGTGCAAAAGGATGTGTACCGCTTGGTGAGCAAGCTGTTAGCTTGGTCTTTGAAACATGCAGCTGCTGGGCGCTTTCCTATGACTGGCTTTGCCAACGAAGAGTTTGACCCAAAGACTTTGAGGGGAGCACTCAAGGGACAAGTCTTAGCGCAGGGTTGGAGGTGCTTCACAGCGTTGAATGTGTCATATGCAGTTTTTGGGTTTGCGTCTTCAAACCAAAAACAGTTTCCTCCAGGGCCGCCTACTTGTGCACACGCTTCGATGGCAAAGCTCGTGCAGAGACGAATTGCTTTGAACGGAACTACAAGTGCACTTTCATTTGCGAAAGCTGTATGGCGCAAAACCCTCTGAACAGACACGACCCAATGCTCTCCTACAGAGACTTCAGACCCGACAGAGCGCGTCACCTAACTGTGGTAGATGATCGCACTTATCGCAGGACCTGTTCAGAAATTAGCCCTTGGAGTGTGATTCCAGGCTGGAAACTTCCTACCGCACTGCACGATATAATGCATGTTGTGTTTCTTGGAACAGCCAGGGACTTAATACCTAGCCTGCTGGCAGAGTTTGTGGACCATGGGTGTCTTGGTGATGATGCGACCACTCTGAACTATCGCTTGCGTGCTTTCAGCATTGAGATGCACAAAGCCTTTCGCGCAGAGGGGAACCTTTTCTGTGTTATGTTGAATGGTGTGCACATGCGCCATGGGCGTCTGATCAAACTTAATTGTGTCTATCTAGCAATTCATCTTAGGATAAGCGTTCGCAAGATCCTTTTCACTGTGCGGAACACTGGCCTAGACAACAGGGGCGCCTCCTTCCCAGCACTGGCGACTGCGTTCAAAGCCTCCCACATCAAGATGACGATCTTGTGGTATTTGTGCCAAAGATCTGTTGAGTTCGCCACAGAAACCGAAGTTCCTTCCCTCCAACTGTTTTTTTGCTTGTCAGGTTGTGAATGGTGCGTGTGTTAATGAGATAATATGAATGTTTTATTCACCTAGGCGCCACGTTTGGAAGCAGCTTCTTTATGCGTGTGGGCTTTGACTCGTGCTATCCACATTATGGATCATAACGATGTTCTTCTCACCAAGCCTGCTGCTGAAGAAATTTGTGATTTGCTCTTAGAGCACCTTTTGCGGTGGCAAGGGTTGATGGAAGAATGTGAGCGAAGTGGTGTGTGGCTTTGGCGAATGAGACCGAAGCACCACTACTTAGAAGAGCTCGCCTTTTTTACAAAGCCAACATGCCTTAATCCTAGGCACACTTCGTGCTTCATGGATGAATCTTTTCTTGGGTGCATAAAAAAGGTTGCACTTCAGTGTCATAGCAACACTGTCCTACTCAGGGTGTTCCAGCGATTGTTCCTAAACTGGAGTCTTCGCTGGCGAGGTACGAACCTACATGCACAGCATGTCGATGGCTCCTCGTGAAAAGGCAGCGGTTGCCATGGCCATTGGCGGAGTTGGAAAGTTCACATGTAGTAAGGTAAATGTCTGTATTGGATGTGGTCTATCCACGCGTGTTTCCCTCAAACCTATATGATATACAAGAGTTGTTGGTTGGCTCAAGTCCTTGAAACCCACGTG